TGGTTGTAGGTTGTTTTCTTTTAGGACTTGAAATACCTCACTCCAGGCTCTCCTTGATCTGAGGGTTTGTGTTGAAAAGTCTGCTGTGATTCTGATGGGCTTTCCTTTGCATGTGATTTGTTTCTTTTCTTTTACTGCTTGTAGTATTTTATTCTTCTGTTGGGTTTCTGGGATCTTTATTATATGTCTAGGTGTAGATTTTTTTTTGATCGTGGCTAGTTGGTGTCCTATATGCCTCGCTTATCTGTATATCTAATTCTTCCCCTCTGTTTGGGAAGTTTTCTGTCATTAATTCTTTGAACTGCTCTTTTAAGTCATTTGCATTTTCTCCTGGTACTTCATGGATACCTATCAGTCTTATGTTATTCTTCTTTGCATCGTCTAGGAGTTGTTGGATCAATTTCTCATGCTCCCTTACTGTTTTTAAGAGACCTCTCTTTTCACGGTCACTGTCTGCAATTTTATCTTCTATATCTGATATTCTACCTTTGCAATCTTTTATTCCGTTGTACACCCTTTCAATAGAGCTTTTAATCTCCTGGATATCTATTTGAATCTGTTTAATGGATTCCATTTCTTTCCTATGTTGGGTGTTCATTGTTTCCATTTCTTTCTTATGCTGGACCTTCATAGTTTCTATTATGTTCCTGAGCTCATGTATTTTTTTGTCAGTTTCTGTTGTAGAGTTTCGAATCATGACTTTCATTTTGCTCACCATTTCTATGGTTATCTGGGAAATAATTTCTGTTTTGAATTTTTCTAGATCCTGATTGATCAGTTTTTTTACTTCCTGTGCTGTGAGTTCTGAGTGTCCTGGAGCTTTACTATCAGACTTTTCATCCTCCTTTGCCCTACTGTTTGCCATTGGTGGACTGGAAGTCTGTTTTTGTGGCTTGCTTAAGTGTTTTCTCATCTTTATTTTTCTGTTGGGTTTCCCTTGATTCAATCTCTGGGTCATTAAATCTTCCTGATATCGTTGGGTCCCAGTCTGATTCTCTAATGACTTATAGACATTCTCATTTTCATAGTTGAGAAAACAACTCATCAAATCAATCCTTGTCCTTTATCCCTATTGATACGATCAGGAACATAATAGGATCCCTTTATAGCCTGCCATGCCTCTGCAGAGTGCGTCCAAGGACTGGCTCAATCAGGGGATCTAATAGGGAGTGGGGTGGGGGGGTGCTGTTTCAGAGCCAATCAGTGGTGCCCGCTGGAAACAGTGTGGCTCCGGAGGAGGCCCATAGTTTGGCCGGGCCGCGCAGCAGAGGTGGCTCTGAGTCCAAGCCGATGATGCCATTGTCTTGCTTTTTACACATTAAGTTTTTACCAAGTATCAGTGACTCTTAATCATTATGTTGTTTAGCTTTGCTTGTTTTCATATAAATGGTTTCTCAACATTTACTTGCTTTTGTCTAAACGTCCCAGAAAATGATGCCTATGAGATGAAATGGTTCTTAAGCGTTTCTCTGTTCCACTCTGTTCAGGGTGGCCGTGTTGGGGTAGAGCTAGGTGACTGTGGGAGCAGAGAGTCTGTGCTTTGGTAGTGGTCTCCTTGGCTGGCAGCAGTCATGGCAGGTGGTGCCCAGAGGTTATCAGAAGTGAGACTCGTGCGTGCTTGGTGACATCCTGTGAGGATGGTGGCTGTCAGTTGTAAGTGTCTCACACAGGCACCTGCACGCTCTGCTTATCTCGTGGTCTGGCTTTGTGAGTCTCCCTGCTGGTGTCGCCCATGGTGGTGTTTGTGAGACTGAAGACTGCGCATGGCCGGGTCTGAGTCCCACTTGCTGGCCATCTGACTTCGAACTTCGGCCTTTGGTAGACAGTGGCAGTGATGACAGTGCTTACCCGGCAGCGTCTCAGCTGTCGTTATTTCTGTTGTAGCGATCAGGTGGTACTGAAGTGGAAGCCTGGTGGCATGAAGTGTCGGAGTCTGGTGGAAAGCCTGCAGCCTGAGTGGTTTTGTTCCTGGACTGAGTTGGTTTCATTCCTGGATGCACTGCTGTTTCGTCAGGGGACCTTGGGGAAACTCACATCACCTCTTGGGTTATTAGTTTCTTCCTCTAACAAAATGACATTCCCTGCACGTGTTTGCTGTGAAGATAGGAGTGGGTGTCTCGGGAGATGGGTGTGGCTCATGAGGGGCTGTCATTGGCCAGGGCCAAGCTGCTGTTTGCTGTAAACAGGACACAGAATTGTAATGTGATCAAAGGGATTAGACCAATGTGGATTAAGCTAGTTGATGAGTGTTTGGAATGGTTATATATGTGATCTATGTCTCTGTGACTTTTTATTTTTGGTATAGTATTTGTCCCTTAGTAAGTTCAAACTTTTTATTGCTTTTTTTTTTTTTTTTTTTTTTTTTTTTTT